CTCTGAAATCAATAAAGTATATTTTTTTTAAAAAAAGAATATACAGGGAGGANTATATTTTTTTTAAAAAAAGAATTAAAACAGGCCGGACAAAGTGGATGTTTGAATCAGCAATTTGGAAGACAAGGTAGANGTATATTTTTTTTAAAAAAAGAATATACAGGGAGGAATTAAAATAGGCCGGACAAAGTGGATGTTTGAATCAGCAATTTGGAAGACAAGGTAGAAAAAACCACCCAATCAGAACAACAAATGAAAAAGAATGAAAAAGAATGAGGATAATTTAAGGGAACTCTGGGACAACATGAAACACAAAAACATCTACATCATAGGGGTTAAAGAAGAAGAATGTGAGCAAGGGCTAGAAAACCTATTTGAACAAATAATCACAAAAAACTTCCTTAACCTCATGAAAGAAAACCTTACACAAGTTCAGGAAGCACAAGTTCATGATGAATCCACAGAGATCCACAGAAAGACACATCATAATTAAAATGGCCAAGGCTAACGACAAAGAGAGAATGAAAAATGGAGCAAGAGAGAGACAGTTAGATACCTACAAGGGAGCCTGGGTTGCGGGCTCGATCCCCAGTCGGGAGTGTGCAGGAGGCAGCCAATCAATGATTCTCTCATCATTGATGTTTCTATCTCTCTATCCCTCTCCTTTCCTCTCTATGAAATCAATAAAGATATATTTAAAAAACACACAAACAATAATAACCTTAAATTTAAATGGATTAAATGCTCCAACAAAAAGACATAGATCATTTGAATGGATGAGAAAACACACAGATCTATATGCTGCCTGCAAGAGATACACCTCAAGACAAAAGATTCACAGAGATTGAAAGTGAAGGGGTAAAAAAATATATATTCCTTGCAAAAGGAAATGAAAAAAAGAGCTGGGGTAGTAATACTTATATCTGACAAAATGGACTTCAAAACAAAGGCCATAACAAGAGACAAAGGTCACTACATAATAATAAAGGGATTGACCCAACAAGAGGATATAACCATTATAAAACTACATGAACCCACTATAGGAATGTGTGTGTGTGTGTGTGTGTGTGTGTGTGTGTGTGTGTGTGTGTGTGTATAAAACTCTTGGTGGACTTTAAGGTACAGATCAACAGCAATACAGTCATAGTAGGGGACTTGAACACCCCACTATTATCAATGGATAGATCTTCCAGACAAAAAATCAATAAGGAAACAGATTTTAAATGACATATTAGACCAGATGGATTTAATTTACATTTATAGAACATTTCATCCCTATGCAGCAAAATATACATTCTTCTCAAGTGCACATGGAACATTCTCAAAGATAGACAGCATGTTAGTACAAAACCCATGTCTACATTTTCAAAAGGATTGAAATCTGATCAAGCATCATCTTGTGTCACAATGGCATGAAACTAGAAATCAACCACTATCAAAAAACTCAAAACATTCAAACACGTGAGGCTAAATAGCATGTTATTAATCAATGAATGGGTTACCAATGAGATCAAGGGAGAAATCAAAAACTTACTGGAAACAAAAATGAACACAGAGCAAACCCAAATCTATGGGACTCAGCAAAAGCTGTCCTTGGAGGGAAGTTCATAGCATTAAAGGCCTACATCAAGAAACAAGAAAAATTTCTAATAAACTATCTAACCCTACAACCTCAAGAATTAAAACGAGAACAAAAAAAGCCCAGAGTAATTAGAAGAAAGGAAACATAAAGATCAGAGTGAAAATAAATGACATAAAAGCTAACCCCCCCAAAAATATCAAAGAAAGCAAGCACTTTCTTTTCTCTTTTCTCTTCTCTTCTCTTCTCTTCTCTTCTCTTCTCTTCTCTTCTCTTCTCTTCTCTTCTCTTCTCTTCTCTTCTCTTCTCTTCTCTTCTCTTCTCT